ATTCAAAATATTTTATGAAAGCAATATAAAACGGCTGCTTTTGTCTCTAGCACGAACACGGGCGTGACACGGCAAGGGATACGCAAGACCAATCACATTGCACGAGAATTTACTCTCCCCGAAACATGGCATGAACACGGCGTGGACGCGGTCACGCCAAGKTCACGACAATGTCAGACCAATCACATTGCGCGTAAAAAAAATCAGCCAATTAGAATTCTAGAAAGCATCACTGTCACGGCACGTCACGCTTACGGCACTGAGCTTTTCACAGTCATACGAAAACTGCTCTATTACAGTATAGAGACACGCACACACGTTATAATATTCCTCAAATATAGGCACAAGATATAAAAGTACATTAAATGAGTTTATGAGAGAAAAGTATGGAAATTTAAYTCTTGTTTTGACYTGTATTCGCGCTATCCACCTTTATTCTGAATGAGCAGCCTTGCTCAGCCTTGCAAGATGACTGGGTGACCTCTTTTTTGTGCGCTCGCCAGCCATTATGAGAAGGGTGTATAGACACATGCAATGGAAACATGATTTTGGGATTTTTACATTTTTATTTATAAAAAAAGGACCATACTTCCAGACATCGACTGCTGAACCGTCGTATGGCAGCGCGAAGCATTTACGGCTACGCCGGAGATTTCGGCCCCGACACCGCTATCCGAAGATTTACAGACTGATCAGGAAGCTCGGCCGAAGCCTAAGGGAGAGGTTAGTCGGCCCCTAGACCGTAGATGATTAACCCCTTGCTATGACCAGCAAACTCACAAATCTTGATTGTGACACTGAAGGCTTTGAGCGCATACTCACTCCTTTCCATGTGGGATGCGTTAGCGATGCATGGGTGCGTACGCTGCTAATGCGTCGCCTTTTACCGCTGTGAGTCTAGCGCGGGTCGGGTTGCTGGTTCGAGCCCTAAGGATGCCACATGTCATGGGTTTGTTTGATGTGTTGTTCTCTCGATCCCTTGCCAAGAGGGTTTTTTTYCCGGGTTGTCTGGGGGTTTTCCCCTCAGTAAAAATCAACTTGTGAGTCGAGCGTTTTGTGCATCAAGTAGTAAATGTAGTGGTAATGAGCGTGAGTGAAAGCAGGCCCACATCAGCTAAAGCTGCGAGAATAATCAGCCTGCTCTAACGAATAAAAAAATTATTAACGTTCATTATATAGTAAATTTGATCTATTTCAAAGTTTATCTGCTATGGAAACACGATTTGGCAGCCCAGCCCAGCCCAGCCCAGCCATAAAGTACGTCTGTTTTTTCCCTCTTCGACAAAATGAAAATGAATTGTGCAATACCACCCATATAATTATTTATTGTATGATGTTTCCATAGCTCATGCAGGCTATCGAGGAATTGATGAGCATGTTCTTTGAGAATGTGTCCCCTAATTTATATCTTTACCTTTTTATCGGGACTCGTATTGAGACAAATTCCATCGTCATAAGAATAAAGTTGGCGACTCTCAATTTTACGTGGTAGGCTTTCATCGCGGAGAGTTTTAAGTCATTTTGACTTTAGATTTCATATACCTTTTTCACTRACTGTTAGATTGTTATAATGAAACGAACATGGAAAGCAAATAAGGGCTTGTTTGAGTTTCAATTCTGATGTGAACGAACACAAAAATAATTTTGTAAGGGATTGGCCATAAAGTAAAGGAGGGGGGGGCATTATAAAATAAAGTATCATATTTCAAGTCATGGTGATGTACATTATACTTTCTCAACCGAACAAAATGTTTATTGAATTATTCAGTTAATAAACAAGTTCTTCAACATCAGGGTCATCGTCAGAACTTCCTGGTTCTTSATTGTCATCGCAGAACTCCATAGTTCCTCGAGTTCCCCATAAACGATAGGGAGCAAATCTTTCTTCAAAGATTCCTTTTGCCTTTTTTGATAAGCGCTTGTTGATGGAGATACACTGAAATGGAATTTATACAATGACCCTATAGCCGTTGAATTAAGGCTGCGTTCATAATGTATGGCAGAGTGGGAGTGGGGGCTTGGCAGGTGAAATTTGAAATGTCCAGAATGATCTTAACACCCCCCTTAAAGTCGTGCAAAAAATTACGATCCCCTCTAAGCAAGGCTTGTAGCTTCTTTCAACAATTGTGCATCCCCCCTTTTTCTGATAAAATTTTGCCCATCCCCSTTTTCCCTCCCAAAATTTTCCCGATCCCCCCTCAATTTCACCTGTCCGCCCCCCCTCCTGCCATACATTATGAACGCAGCTTTCAATACAGGAAATCATTTCTTGGGGAAACAGCTATGGAATCAAATACTTGGACTTTAGCAGAAGATGTAAAGAACAGAATGCAAGATGAGCCAGGCCCAGAAGGAGATTTATGAACGCTTTTCTCACTCCAAGAAAGGAATTACAGTAATAATAATAGTACAGAAGTTCTTAGATTTACGCTTACAGCTGATAGAAAACAGAAAACAATACAAGGACACTGTTATTTCAACGAGAAAATACAGTCGTTCTTGAATGAGCATGTGGAGGTTGGAGAGCTTGATATGGAATACTTGAAGGAATCTTGTATAACACGACATCTGGTGGGCTATGCGACGAGGGAAGGAAAAACTCGAGTTACGATTTTCGAGTTACAATTTTCGAGTTACACACTTTTCGAGTTACGCGCTCGGACACACCCATGTTTTGGGGGCCACGTCCACTTTGACATCTTTGCGTAACTTGATGACAAACAGCTTTAAAATCAAACTCGAGTTATGTAACTCGAACCCAACAGATGGAACCTTATTTTTCGAGTTACGCGCTATTTTCGTAACTCGATTCTAAAAGTGAACAAATATTTTTTCGAGTTAAACTTTTATTTTTTTCGCGTTATTTTTTTAGACTGATTCCATAAGTCGAGGTGGTTGTCTCGCTCAACTATTCATTAATATTTTTTATTCGTATTTCTTCATTTTGTATTGTCTATATTTACTCTTTCCGTATATTCTCTACCTTCACATCCCCATAWTCCTTTGCGTCTTTGGGGGGTAACCAGAGGGTAAAAACACACTTATTTTGCTGAAGGCTGATCAGACAATGTTGAAAATACCTTGTTTGGTATCCAAAAATAAAATGAAGAAGTAAAAAACAGAAAAAGATAGAAGCTTGAAGACGTTTAAGGTAAATTTTAAACATTTTTTTCGTAAATCAATAGTGTAAAACCAAAACTCTTGATGATCTGTACACGCAAAAATAACTTGGAATAAACTGATAATCAGTATTGTACAGATAAAAGCAGGTATAGTATAAATTCAATTAAGAAACTTTTCAATTTGGGACAGTTTTTTGATTGGTTACCCCCCAAAGACGCAAGGCATTATGGGGATGTGAAAGTAGAGAATATCATACAGTTATATCTTACTCGAATACAATTATATATTTTCTCTTTTTCACTTTCTCGACATAGCTCAATTGACAGCTACCGCAATATAAACCTTTAAAACCATAAAACTATAAAACAGTCCGGTCATTTCTAGTCAATGAACAGTACGATCGCTGCCTACCTGTATCATTTTTTAGCCCACCCACAAGGGAATTTTTTTATTTGATGTGTYAATTTTAATCTTAATTTTAATTCCGTTCATTTATTGAGAAGAAAATTATTCTCTTTCAAATTAACTCGAAAAAATATTTGTTCACTTTTAGAATCTAGTTACGGAAATAGCGCGTAACTCGGAAAATAAGGTTCCGTCTGTTGGATTCGAGTTACGTAACTCGATTCTGATTTCAACGCTGTTTGTCATCGAGTTACGCACAGATGTCGAAATGGGCGTGTCCCCCAAAACATGGGTGTGTCCCTCGCGTAACTCGAAAAATGTGTAACTCGAAAATCGTACCTCGAAGAATACCTTATCTCCTATGCGACTACTCTGTCAAGTATCGCAGGTTAAACGAAACCCTCCAAACGTGTTACAAAACCCAGACCTGATGAAACTGCTCTTCCCGATCTGAAATACTTTCCATGCAGCTTCTAATTATTGCTACTACATGTGCGACACGGACGAAAAGCATGAAGAAGTTGATACTTCATGCGAGGACACTGATGAGGATACTGAAGATTTATATAGCGACGAAGAAAGTTATGTCATTGTTACTCATGAAATTGGAGTGACTGATA